GAATGGACTAGTGAAATGTGTCAATGGGTGCGGCGGACACATGTCGATGAATCATAGAGCTTTAGCTTGTTCCCAAAGCAGGTGATAGGTTTTCGTCCCTTCTGCGTCGGATACTTGTTCACGTTCCTCTCCTGCGATAGCGGATTAGATGCTTAAGATCTGGTAGAACAGATAGATGATACAGTTGGCGGCGACCCTGAGCATTCAAAGAGAAACTTTGCTGCATGTTGCTCCAAAATAGACGTCTATAAAGGAACGATTCTATGTACAACAGAGGCTTTTACTAAATTCTCATTACCGTTCATTATCCTAGTCTAATAGACGCGAAAAACCAATACAGCTATTGGAATCAAACGTTCATCGTTCATCACGTCTGTATCGACCGTTTCTTTATGCTGACCGAGTTGTTCAGTTGGTAGAGCGTCGGAATCACAACCGAGAAGTTCTGGGCTCAAGACCATTACCCCGCCATCCTTCAGAGGTCGATGAGTGACCAGGAGAATACACAGCGTGCTTGTCACATGACCGACCATTGTTGCCTGTTTTAAAAGAAAGCACTCCTGCTTAATGGTATTGAAGTGAAGCTCAGCGTCCCTCGATTGACTTCATGAAAAGAAGGGCGCCAGAAATAGTCGCATCATCAAATGTAAGGAAGACCGACATTTTAAAAATTACTCAAGTTTTCTTTTTTCAATCTCATGTCATTTCTCCGAGTTTATGATTCGTAGTCGTGCCGTATCGTAGATGAGACCGTTTAAGCAGGCCACCTGCAGTGCATGGATTTAAACCGCATCGCCAAAAACCTTTTCGGACATCTACCGTAATGCCACTCTCAGTACGTATTTATATACATAGAAGTACACCCTGATGTTGGGGGTTTAATGGCAAACTGCTAGTTTTTGATACGGCTGGTAGGAAACATAATCTCATGTCAATTCTCTGGATTTACGCGGCATGATTTAAATCCAGACTGGATTAGATATTGAACCTCTGGAGAGACAGACAGTTATCTTTGTCCAAGATTCGACTGCTTAGCTTGCTGAAAAGATCCTTGCTGTGTCGGAACATTTACTTAGAGACTTTATTGCGTGCTTCATCAGGAAATATGCACGCAAACAGCCATTTTTACCTAAGAATAATTTTAAAGCAAAGGCCGTTGATTCTAGTTACTTTTGATTATTCTGATCGACAGAGATAAAGAGCTCCAGTTGTTGGAAAAATTCTGTATGGTTCAGCTCATGTATTCTTTTTATCCAATCCCATCGAAGACGACGCCGGGTGTCATGTAAGTATTCCACTTGGATCGAACAAATATGCACTGATACTTAAGTTCTTTCGAGGTCATGTTAATTCTGATGAGATCTTCCCATCTCGTTAGAAGTCTTCCTGGTAGTTGCTTGCCGTAAGACTTTGCGTTCAGTAGCTGCAGTAGTACCACCATCTGAAACGTCTTATTTGCAGCCAGTCGGTTACCTTAATTACGTTTTCTAATTTATTTCTTTTGTCATTTTGATACCAGATAATATAGCACTTTATTCCTAGTATTGACCTTAGTATCTTTCATTACGTCGGCTTCTAGGCTTCTGTTTCCAGCTTTGTGCTGCCATCTCCAGGCTGTAGAACAAGATGGTCTGAATGCAAGCCCTACGTGTCCGTATCTTGGTGCTGTTGCCAACAGCCTGGTCCAAAGGTTTAACAACGTGGACAATGGCTTGCTGCTAACGTAAACGTGCTTCGGCTAGCACGTTTGTGTAACGTAACAACACTATGCTTATATACTAACATGTGAGCAATATGCTAGAACTCTGCTGTTCCAGTTGCTCGACAATGTCTACGAATTTCATATCGTCATTTGCCATTGTTTCCTGTTGTCTGTATTGTTTCATATGATTGCAAGTCAATCATTGTGCCATTCGTGATGTACAGTTTTTCAGTAAGTGGCCCAGGTTTAGGTCTAGGTCCATCGAATGAATTGTTATATCGTCTTAGACTTTTCCAACATCGGTTCGACACCCTATAAACCATTCCGATGATCTGCCGTTTACCTGTGGAGGCAGACAGCGAAAATTTTACTTTAAATATTTCCTCTAACGCAGGGATGATGATAATCCCTGTTCGACATATTCTAGACAGCAGTGTAATGTGAATACAACCAAATTTACAAAAATACAGTTTATTTCCTCGCGATAGCTTTTTAACGGTTTACTGTATTTGGAATACAGTACAGCTCCGATTGAACGTTTTCAGCATTGGACGAAAAGCTTTAGTGAATGAACTTTTCTTTTGAGGTTCTGACTCGCATTTTTGTGAACTCCTCAAGAATCAGTTAGTAAGTTGTCATGACCGCTTGTCATTTCGGGTCGCAGACGCAGAAAAAGAAGTAAGCGCGTTAGACATTGTCTTCAATGTCCCTGATCTTGTGCCAGCGTTTGAGTTTCGACAGAAGCTAAATCTAGTTTGGAGCAATGTATTAAATTACTGTAGTTTCAGATCATTCTTGGCTTCCCCCTGGGTTTCATGTCGGTTGGCTGGACAAGTAGTAGTTGCTTTTTCTTTTCCGGAAGCATTCGCAGAATGTGTCACAACCATCGCATTTGTGTCTTCTAAATATGAAGAAGACGCTTCAATTGAGTTAACAAAGATCACGTAGCCAGGCATCTATTAAGGCATAGTTTT